GGCATGCTGATCACTAACAGACCCACTGGCCTGCTCTTCAGGCATAAATCCCATGTAGGTGGGCAGTACTTAACAATACCTGCTTTCCTTCCATCTCTGGTTCACTAAAATTAGATCAAATATGGATCCTGAGTAGAAAATAAGAGGAGATGTGTTTCTGAGGCAGACCTGGGAGCCTCCACTGCAAAGCAGCAGCCGGGTCACAGCTAATCACTCTGGTGCCAGTTTTCTTCTGAGTTCATTCTGTTTCCCTCCTATGTTTTTCTCCTGTTTATAATAAACACTTTCCCTTATGTTCAAAAAGTTAAAAAAATCTATCATATTTGTTTGTAAGGAGGAGAATGCCTATAAGGACATGGTCAGCCTTAGGAGTACTTTGCACAAAAACATAAAGAGAACAGAGTTAGTGGGGGGAAGCCAAGATGAACACTGTTCTCCCAGGTTCCTGACTGTGTGTATGTAAGCACATGTGTACAGTGAGTATATGGGGGCATGCCCAGAGGCTCCTACTTTTTTTTTTTTTTTAAGATTTATTATGTGTACAAGAACTGGGGCACAGGCCAGAGATGTGGGGGGGGGTTGAGAGGATTCGCCAGAGACAGAGTGGGGAGCAGAACAGGCAGAGTGACTGAAATACACTGCTGAGGGGAACAGTGGGTGAAACAGGAGAGGTCTGCTGTACCATGTGGGTCACCTTCCTGGCTAGAGATCCTTGGCTACCAGGAAGGCCCTCCCTGACACTTTGTTTCTTTACTAGAAACAGCAGTTCAGGAGAGAACCAGAAGGAAGAGAAGAAACAGTGCTTTTTCTATTTTCTTATTGCTAAATTATAGATTAAACCATAAAGTGAAAAAAGTCAGACTACATAAATACTTGGCACTGGCACCACAAATGTAAGCAGGATCAGGCTATTAAAAAAAAAAGTTCTATGATTGAAACCTATGACCTGTATTCTACAGAGTAAAACCTGTGAGGTTACCCAAGGCTTCTGGAAGCTTGTTGGCAATTGGGACAAAGAATAGGAAAATACCTACACTGAGATAAAACGTGATAAAGCCACCAGGCTTTACTGATGTTAGAGGTGGGCTTTTACCAGTCCCTTAAAGAGGGGAGGAGGTGCAAAAAGGGAAGAATTAACCTGCCAAGGGCAGCTGGACTGCCTCTGAGCATGTCCTTTGGTGACACTGATAGAGTCCTCTGCATTCCACCCCAGGCCTCCTCCACACCACTCTGCATGCTGCTCACTCCTTCATGCCACCCTGGTGGTAGGCTGTGCTTCCCTTCCTTCTAAGCAGGTACCACTGATACCTCTTCTTGGTGGGGACACCCTTTGGTGGGGAGGACAGAGGTTGTTCAAGTCCTTTTTGTATGTCTCTGAAATGGTACATTCCTGGCAGACATAACCTTTTCCCTGAGAAGTCTGGCTCCAGGGCAGAGTTCAGAGAACAGAAGTAAGGGGTGGTTGCCTGGGGCTTCCCTGTACTCAGGGGGCAAAGGTTAGTTGGAGTTTGGGTGGAGGCTTGCCCATGTGTGGAGAATGCTGAGATGGGCCTTCTGCTCTGCTGCCAGTGGACAATGTCCATACAGGTCTGGTGTTGACATTTACACTGAGGGAAGCAGTGACAAGCTGTGGGTAGTACAATTACAGGTTTTAATTTCTTTACCTTGCTTTAATTTATTCTCTGTAATCAAAGTTTTATTTAAAAAAATTATTTTAATGGTTAAAAGGAAGATTCTATTCCTTGACTCTGCAATCCCATTTCTAGTAATATAGCTAGAAAATATGGCCAAAGTCCTCCTCAGTGGATGACTTCTGTTTTAGTGCCTGATTCACAGGGGAGGAAGTCAGAGATCCTGGACCCTCCTTGCTCTCATGATCCAAAGGAGAAATAGGGATGAAGAGAAGTGAACAAACTCCAGAGAGAGTAAGAGGGTGAGTAGGACAGTCAGGTAGAATTTGACATACAGTGAGGGAGAGGCATGTTATCAGGTGAAGGTCCTGAGAAACTAGGTGGCTATTGGGGCACAGGCTAGGCTCAGCTCACGCTACCAGGGATACAAGTCTGTGGTGGGGGTCGGTGCAGTTTCTAATTTTACCTAGATTGCTGTCGATCTTCTGGTGGTAGGTTCGAAGATAAGTGTTCTTTGGGTAAGCATCAGTACTCACAGCAGAACCAGCCCCTCCTGGGATGGAGTCTGAATTGAGAAAGAAAACAGACGAGTTAGCAGACATCTCTTTAAATTCTGTTTTACAAAATTAATCTCAGTTTGGACAATGGGTAGAAGGAACACAAGGTGGTTAATGCTCAGGCTGTCCAAAGAGTGTGGGAATGGATAACATGTAGGAGGAAGGAGACTTGGGCTGATGTGGGCTGGAGAGGGAGGCAGGCAGCTCTTTGGAGATCAAAGACCTTCAACATAAGGTCACCTGGTAAGACTGGCAGCGGAGCTAGGGAAAAAGAGAGATTCATACAAGCAATATGAAAGCAACACAACTGCAATGATTTAACAAACTTGGCTGGGGCCAAGGTTGGAAGCCAAGGTTTTCAAAATCTAGTGTTATGTTATGGAAATAGGACGACAGTGAATTTTTTTTTTTTTTAATTATTTCTAAGCTGTCTTTCCACTTCAATCAAAATAAACAAGGCAGCGGGGAAGGCTAAATAATGTACATTTCTCCCAAGAAATCTAACTTAATTGTTTCAAAACACTCAGAAAAGCCCTGTTGTCTGGGCTAACATCTTTTGGAAAGCACCTCTTTCTAGACTTAGTGTCTTCCTCCAGTACAAACTAGAGAAGTCCCTCTATACTAAGTACTGTACTTTTTAAAATTTCTCCTAAATTAATACACATCTTACCAATTACAACTCACCATAGTATCTTAAAAATGTCATCTTTCAGGCTCAGAGTTATACTTCTTTGGGTTATGAGGAGCCTGGGTTATTCCCTGGACCATATATATATATATTTGTTTCTTCCACTTGTGCGATTTTGCTTTTCCAGACTCAAAAGCCATGTGGAGGCTCTGTCACCCCTGACCCCTGGTCTCACCATTAGCTGTATCCACTACAGTAGCGGAGGTTCTGGGATGCCCAGGGTACATTCTACTTGCCTTGAAGATAGCACAAGTATTTGGTTTCTAGCACCATTCCTATATGTCCTCAGGAGGCATACGTTCCTGGACCCATCATTCACGTGAATGGGATCATCTGACACAAAACATTCTATCTCATATACCTTGCCTACACTGCTGCTTCCCACCTGCTCAGGCTTGGTGGTTGTGTTAATATTCCACAGCTGCTCTTACAAACTGCCACTACCACAAACTTATGGTCAGAGGTCTAATTTGGGTCTGATTGGGCGCTAATCCACTTATGTACTTCTTTTAGAGGCTCTTGGGCAGAATTTGAGTCCTAGCCTTTTCTAGCTTCTAAAGATCACCCGCATTCCTTAGCGGGTGGCGCCTTTTTCCATCTTCAAACAATAGGATAGCAACTTCAAGCTTCCTTCTGATTCTGACATTTTTCTTCTTTCCTGTCCACTTATAAAGGACCTCTGAGATTATACTGGGTTCAATAAATAGCACAGGATAATGTTCCTAACCCAAGGTCAGCTGACTCCATTTGTAAACACAATTCTCTTTTACCCATGTAATCTAACATATTCATGGCACCCAGGGATTAGAAAATAAATTTCCTCGCTGGGAAGGGGTCATTAGCTTACCTAATGCAGTTGCCTTTTTAGTGCTAGGGAAGTCTGGAAAAGTAAAACCACTAAGTGGGAGAAAACAGGGAATAACCTAGGCTTCTCATAACCCAAAGTTTAAACCTGAGACTGGAAGACATGACTTTTAAGAAATTAAGGGGAGCTTTAAAAAAAAAAAGAATTATTTATTTATGCATACAAGAACTGGGGTACAGGTCAGAGGTGTGTGTGTGTGTGGGGGGGGGGATGTGAGAGGATTCACCAGAGGCAGAGTGTGGAGCAGAACATGCAGAACTACTGAAATACACTGCTGAGGGAAGCAGCGGGCGGGTCAGGAGAGGTCTGCTGTACCATGTGGGTCAGCCCCTGGTCAGGGATGGAACTCATGCTGTGGTGGCTATGGATAGCTTTATAGTGTTGTGCTTTAATCCACTGTGCCACCAGAAGATTTATTTATTTATGTATACAGAACTGGGGTATAGGCTAGGGGTGCAGGGGTGGTGAGAAGATTCACTCGAGACAGAGTGGGGAGCAGAACAGGCTGACTGACAAAGTATACTGCTGAGAGGAGCAGCGGTGGGTCAGGAGAGGTCTGCAGTGCCATGTGGATCAACCTCCAGGGCAGGGACTGAACTCATGTTGAAGTGGCTTTAGCTTCTTACGCTGTGCTTTAACCTGCTGCACCACCAAGGATGGCCGTTTAAGGGAAGTTTTAATTGGCATGGTGTATATTAACTTAGACCTAGATAGATACTGGCCTGAAACCAGTGGTAGGGAGTTCAGTTTTCAATTGGAAGTAGGCCCCCACTTCCTCATTCCATTCTCCATGGGAGAGGGAGGGGTGAGACATTGTAAAACACAACTTCAGCTCCTGAGAGCAGCTTTGGGTCCCTAATCTTTTACCTAGCCTATGGATTCCCCACAGACCCCAACTATTCAGGGTTAAAACTAAACCCACAGGTCTCCCAGTATCCAGTGTGGCTGGAGCACAGGGTCCCCACTGACCTGAATCATTCAGCTTCCTGAGATTTGGATGGCTGGCTTGGTACTCTGCCTCATGTTCTTTACTTGTACTTATGGCTTCTTTCAGTCTTTGGACAAAAGTTAAGAAAAAAGAAAACATTTTTAATAGGAAAAATACCTATGCTCAGGATAAATAGATGGGACTACATCAAGTTAAAGAGCCTCTGTACAGCAAAAGAGACATTGCAAAAAACAGAGAGCCCACTAATTGGGAAAAAATTTTCTCACACAAAACTAGTGATAAAGGATTGATCACAAAAATATACGGAGAACTGATGAAACTCAACAAAAATAA